CAGAAGGGATGAAGGTCAGATGTGATGTGAGAACGAACTTCTGCCTCTGATGGTTTCTGTGGTGGAATGAGGCAGTGGAATGGGGAATCTAGACAGACGAGGAAGGGAAGCTCCCCTCCCCCCATTGTCACCCATGTCTGTCCAAAGGCTTGTGATGATATCAGGAAGATCCCTGGGGTCCCAGCTGGACCCAGACCGCAACGTCCTGACTTCCCTTTGTTCTACAATCCAGGGTCCTCTGCTCTACCTCAACCCAGCACCAAGACCCAAAGGCTGCCCCTCCTTAGGGGCTCAGAGCTCTGAGCACATCACATCCAAGCTGTCGGCCCAGGTCCTCCTCTTCCAGGAAGCCTTCCTCAAGGTCCTGGGAGGCAGGACCCCTTTCCTACAGCCCAATTCCCAACGCTGAGTATGCAGATGCTCCCCTGTCTACCATAAGGCCACATCTGTGATCCCCAGTCGGCTCTGTGACGCGAACACAAAAGAGACCTACTAAGTTCCCAGACTTTCTGAGTTCCCTAGGCCATCGGGCTAATCCGCTGCTCACTCCCCCTGTACCCAGATGTAAATAAATGATGCGGGTGCCCAGGGGCTCGTTAGAAAACCCAGGCCCCAGCTCAGCGATGCGGTGGCTCTTACCTCATTAGCCCACAGAACAGAAGCCGTTTGGGTCAAGCCATCGCCCTCTACCGTGGGGAAGAGGCTGCCCTTGGATGAGGCATGGCGCGCTCTCTGTCAACGAGGTTCCTGACTCCGGAGCCCCGTCGTCACCATCCCCAACCTGCCCCACTCCAGAAAGCTGCGCGTCTAATGCCCGGCTCTGTCTTTTCCATCCCTCGGAGCCCGCCTGGCATTAGGGATAACCAGCCAGGACCCTCTAATTGCCCCAGAGTTCAATCCCGCCCAGCAGATGCCCAACGTCGGCGCGCAGAGCCGAGATAGGGATATCCTCACTGTCCCTGGGGTTCCCCAGTTTTGAGGCGAGAGGACCGGACAGGTGGAAGGGGCTGCCTCGTTCTCCCGCGCTGCCCTCGAGGTCGTCGGCGTGGACCAGCCCGCGTCTTACCTGCGGGGCAGAGACGGAGCCCGCCGCGGCCACCTGCTCTCGCCGGGCTGGGAGCGCTGCGTTTCGGGCTGGCCGGGAGGGGCGGGGCCCGGCAGGGCGGAGGCGGAGCTGGGAGGGGGAGCAGGGCCCGGCCCCTCCTCCAGGCCCCGCAGGTGGGGTGCGCTGGCTCATTCAGGTGGGACGTCCCAGGGCAGCATCTGGGCCACAGGGAGGTCCCCGAGCTCGAGTTCTTCCGAAGGCTGAGAAGTTAGGACTGCGGGCACATGCAGCGGACGGGGTCGGAGCGGAAATCCCTCCTTCAGAAAGCCTTGCCCGCATGCCCTGGAGCCGGTGACTTCATATAAAGACCCCTCACACGAAAAAGAAAGCTCAGAAACCTCTCCGGGTCCTTGTCCCCCTTCCATCTGAGCTCTTCAGACCTGGCAGGGTGGGTGTGCGACCGGACACCTCCTCTAAAGGTAGGGTGCCCTCTCCAGGGGTCAGCTGTGTAGGGGCTTAGACTGCTGAGGGGCCATAAAGCACCCAGCCCATCTTTATCCTCAGCCCATCTCTCTCCCTGCCACACAGCCCCTCCTCCGCCCCTAGTGCCAGCCCAGGTCCCCCAGCTGTCACTGTTTAGCCCTGGAATGACAGGCTTCCTGACTCCGTGAGTCTAGCCACATTCAAGGCCCTTGAGCTTAGCACCCCTGAGCCCCTGCCCCCTCCTTCTGCCCCCAGTCGCTAATTTTATTGACCTGTAAAAAGCACGTTGCTGGCAGGCGGTATACTAACTGAAGGCAAAGTAGGGAGAGGATGAGCAACTCTCCCCCTGGGAGGCAGCTGGAGATGGGACAGGAGGGAGGAGGAAGGAGACTCCTGGAGTCAGGGCCAAGGACATTTGGAGAGGAGGAGGAAGGGGGCCTTGGGGAAGAGGGGTGCACTCTCTAGGGGAGATGGTAGCCAGAAAGATGAGAACTGGAATTTCAGCCCTCAGACAAGAGCCCTACAGAAAAAATAAAATGATGGGAGAAAAGAGGGTGGATTTCCCATCTACCTGGGCACAGGACCAAGGATGTAGCAGAAGGGAAGGAGGTTAGACGGCAGGAAGGACTGCCATCCTCTCAAATCTCTGCCCTAGCCCCCTCCCTTCCTCTTGAAGGTGCCTCCTGCCTGCTGGGCCTTTTACTACAGAAATAGCCCTTTCCCTGATGAATCAACCTAGATCTCGCCTTTCTTTTCCTTTCTTGTTAAAATGAGAACAGTAAATTTAGGCCTTTGTAATTCTCCCCACCCCCATGCCTACCTGAGCCCACCCCTCAAATGCTGAATCTCAGCTTCTCCCCAGCCTAGGGAAGATGACCTGAAGGTTAAGGAAAGGTAGAGGGGGGACATTGGGATTGGAAGCTATTATGGGGAAGAGGGAGCAGGAAGCCCTCACACGCTCGCTCGATAGGCCTCAGGTTGAGACTGTTGATACTCTTTACGAATAAGACTTAGGAGAGCCATTAAAGAGGAGTGTTTAGGCCAGGTGCAGTGGCTCACACCTGTAATCCCAGCACTTTGGGAAGCCCAGGTGGGCGGATCATGAGGTCAGGAGTTGGAGACCAGCCTGGCCAACATGGTGAAACCTCGTCTCTACTGAAAATACAAAAGTTAGCCTGGCTTGGTGGTGGGTGCCTGTAATCCCAGCTACTTGGGAGGCTGAGACAGGAGAATCTCTTGAACCCAAGACACGGAGGTTGCAGTGAGCCGAGATCACGCCATTGCACTCCAGCCTGGGCTATAGGGCAAGACTCTGTCTTAAAAAAAAGAGAGTGTTTAAAACTTTTGTTTTGAGTTGGGTCTTACTCTTTCACCCAGGCTGGAGTGCAGTGGCATGATCTCAGCTCACTGCAACTTCCACCTCTAGGGTTCAAGCGATTCTCCTGACTCAGCCTCCTGAGTAGCTGGAATTATAGGTGGCCACCACTATACCCAGCTAATTTTTGTATTTTTAGTAGAGACAGGGTTTCACCATGTTGCCTAACAGGCTGGTCTCAAACTCCTGACCTCAGGTGATCCGCCCACCTCAGCCTCCTTAAGTGCTGGGATTACAAGGGTAAGCCACTGTGCCCAGCCTAAAACTTTTAACACTAGGCCAGGCACAGTGGCTCATGCCTGTAATCCCAGCACTTTGGGAGGATCACCTGAGCCCAGGAGTTGGAGACGAGACCAGCCCGGGCAACATAGTGGGACCTTGTCTATACACCACCTCCCTACCCCAAAAAATTAGGTGTGGTGGTATACACCTGTAGTCCCAGGTACTAAGGAGGTTGAGGTGGGAGGACTGCTTGAGCCTGGGAGGTCAAGGCTGCAGTGAGCCACAATTGCACTACTGCACTCTAGCCTGGGTGACAGAGTGAGTCCCTGTCTCAAAAACAAAACGAAAACAAAAAATGCAAAGCAGGGCTCAGTGGCTCACGCCTGTAATCCCAGCACTTTAAGAGGCCAAGGTGGGTGGATCATCTGAGCTCAGGAGTTTGAGACCAGCCTGTTAGGCAACATGGTGAAACCCTGTCTCGACCAAAAAAAAAAAATTAGCTAGGCATGGTGGCAGGCACCTGTAATCCTAGTTACTTGGGAGGCTGGGGCAGGAGGATCACTTGAGCCCAGAAGGCGGAGGTTGCAGTGAGCTGAGATCGCGACACTGCACTCCAGCCTGGGCAACAGAGCAAGACTCTGTCTCAAAAAAACCAAACACTGGCCGGGTGCGGTGGCTCAAGCTTGTAATCCCAGCACTTTGGGAGGCCGAGGCGGGTGGATCACGAGGTCGAGAGATCGAGACCATCCTGGTCAACATGGTGAAACCCTGTCTCTACTAAAAATACAAAAAATTAGCTGGGCATGGTGGCACGTGCCTGTAATCCCAGCTATTCAGGAGGCTGAGGCAGGAGAATTGCCTGAACCCAGGAGGCGGAGGTTGCAGTGAGCCGAGATCGCGCCATTGCACTCCAGCCTGGGTAACAAGAGTGAAACTCCGTCTCAAAAAAAAAAAAAAAAAAAAAAAAAACCAAACACTTAACACTAAAAATTACCACAAAGCAGGTCATTAGATGGGGAAGGGTGAGAGGTGTGGATTACAATGGGAACCAGGAAACTTCTGTTCTTTGAAAATTTCACTGAAGGGCTGGGCATGGTGGCTCACGCCTGTAATCCAAGCACTTGGAGGCCAAGGTGGGCGGATCACCTGAGGTTGGGAGTTCAAGACCAGCCTGACCAACATGGTGAAACCCTGTCTTAAAAAAAAAAAAAAGAGAAAAAGAAAATTCCACTGGAAGAAACAGGAAATTTTGAGACTGATAGCTATGTTCCTTATCTTGATTGTGGAGGATATGCATGATAAAACGTGTCCAGGCCGGGCAAGGTGGTGCAAGCCTGTAATCCCAGCACTTTGGGAGGATGAGGCAGGCGGATCGCCCGAGGTCAGGAGTTTGACCAACCTGGCTAACATGGTGAAACTCCATCTCTACTAAAAATACAAAAAAATCAGCTAGGCGTGGTGGTATGCGCCTGTAATCCCAGCTAATTGGGAGGCTGAGGCAGGAGAACCGCTTGAACCCAGAGGTGGAGGTTGCAATGATCCTAGATCGTGCCACTGTTCTTCAGCCTGGGCAACAAGAGTGAAACTGTTTCAAAAAAAAAAAAAAATGTATCCAATTGCACACTATATGTGCAGTTTATTTTCTACCAATTATATTCCAACAAAGACACCACACATTTTCTATCCCATTTTTCCATTTATTTTTATAAAGAGCCTCAAAAATTAGAAGCGGACCTGGTAGGGAAAGAATGTGATGATTCAGAGCATAGTATGGCAATTAATTAATTAATTAATTTATTTATTTATTTATTTGGCTAGTCAAGTGAAGCAGTGGGAGTGGAGAAGGAACAAGGAAATCTGTAACTGGTTGTGATCAATTAGTTGTAAACACCACTGCACTCGGACCAGCTGTTTTTTTTAATGGCAGCCAAGTTCAAAGTGTGGCAATTCTTTTGCCTCCATTTCGCCAGCTCCATCCAGTGCATACGAAAGTGTCTATGTGTGTGCGAGGTGGGTCTGGGGCTGAGGTCTGGCCCTCCAGTTGCTTCCCCATTGCGGCAGCCTAAGCCAGGATGCCCAGGACTCCTCTGTGACTGGTGGGCCTGATGCCCACAGCTGGTGATTCCAGAAGGAGGGGCCTGGACCAGGCTGTGTCCCGGGGAAGACGACGGCAGCTGTGGACTCTCCCGCCCCCTACAGCCCGAGCCGGGCACTGTAGCAACGAGGTGGTCAGTCCAAGGAGAGGTCCGTCAGGTTCTGGGCACAGTGCTGCAGGAAGTCAAAGTCAGGCACAGGGAAGGGTACGCGGGACCACTTTTTGGCCTGAATCCGCCCTTGAGGGGTCTGCAGAAGCATGCTGCGGACTTTGAGCGCTGGTAGCTTCACCGATTTGTAGATTATCTGCAGACCCCAGACCTGGGGTGAGACAGAGAGAGTAGGGTTTGGGTGTCTGGCCTCAGACTGGGTTTCTCTCAAGGTGGAATTCTGTGAATACAGGACCTTTGCTTCCCACCTGAGGCTGTCATACACTGGGCTCCCTTAGACAGGGGCTGGACCTCCCTCTTCAGACTGGAGGCCATGGGGTGGGAATGTCTCCCCTGTCCTAGTGAGGGCTGAGGACTCTGGGGCCTGGGACATGGCCCAGGCTCTTACCTCCCCACAGTTCCTGCAGCTGATGACACCCCCAGGCTTCCAGTCCTTGAAGACTTTGTTGATGACCACAGGCTCCCTGGAGACGTTATAGTAGATCCTGGAGAGGAAGTGGGGTGGCCACAGCCCTCATTGACCTTCCTCAGCCCCAGATCTCATGCCCTCCTACTGGCCAAGCCCCTGCCTGGACCTTGGGCTTTCCTGCTGGTCAAGAGGCACAGACTTCCTAGGCTAGGAAATCCAGTCTTCAGTGAGTTCTACCTGTGTGGCCTCCATCACATGCTCCCTTGTGCCCAGGCTCAAGCTCAGCATCGCTTACCCAGTCTTCACAGTCTCCTAACAAGTCTCTCTGCCTCCATGCTTACTCCCAATATCAAGCCATCCTTCCACCAACTGCTAGAGTGATCTAAAAATATAAATCTGCCCCGACATCCCCTTGCTTAAAATCCACCCAAGATTCCTAAGAAGAACTTCCTGCATAAAGGCTACACTTTCACACCTGACCTTTAAGATCTTCCACAGGCTAGTCTGTCTCTTTCTAAATCTCATTATTCACAGTCCCTTCCACTCAGGTCAACTGGTTTTTTTGTTTTGTTTGTTTTTTGAGACAGAGTCTTGCTCTGTCACCCAGGCTGGAGTGCAGTGGTGCGATCCTGGCTTGCTGCAGCCTCTGCCTCCTGGGTTCAAATGATTCTCATGCCTCAGCCGCCCAAGTAGCTGGGATTGCAGGCATGCGTCACCATGCCCAGCTAATTTTTTGTATTTTTTTTTGAGACGGAGTTTCGCTCTTGTTACCCAGGCTGGAGTGCAATGGCGCCATCTCGGCTCACCGCAACCTCCGCCTCCTGGGTTCAGGCAATTCTCCTGCCTCAGCCTCCTGAGTAGCTGGGATTACAGGCACACGCCACCATGCCCAGCTAATTTTTTGTATTTTTAGTAGAGACAGGGTTTCACCATGTTGATCAGGATGGTCTCGATCTCTTGACCTCGTGATCCACCCGCCTCAGTCTCCCAAAGTGCTGGGATTACAGGCTTGAGCCACCGCGCCCGGCTTGTATTTTTTTTTTTAGTAGAGAAGGGATTTCAGCCAGGCGTGATGGCTCATGCCTATAATCCCAGTACTTTGGGAGGCCGAGGTGGGCAGATCAGGAGGTCAAGAGATTGAGATCATCCTGGCCAACATGGTGAAACCTCGTCTCTACTAAAAATATAATTATTAGCCCAGCATGGTCATGCATGCCTATAGTCCCAGCTACTCAGGAGTCTGAGGCAGGAGAATCACTTGAACCCGGGAGGCAGAGGCTGTAGTGAGCTGAGATCATACCATTGCACTCCAGCCTGGCCACAGAGTGAGACCCGTCCCCCTGCTCCCCACCCCCTCCCCCCAAAAAAGAGGAGTTTCACCATGTTGGCCAGCCTGGTCTTGAACACCTAACTTCAAGTGATCCACCTGCCTCGGCCTCCCAAACTGTTGGAATTACAGGCATGAGTCACTGTGCCCTGCCCTCCATGGTTACCTTCTCATTTGCTCACATTGAAACCAGACCCATTGAGACCTAGCTGAAATTCGACCTCCTCAATTGAGAAAACCTGTGTGAAGATCCTTGGCACAGTGGCCTGGAACACAGAGGGTGACATAATAAATGGATGCAGGATGAGGGAAGGTCACTCTTTAGGAGACAGAGGATGGGGGATGGCTCAGGGACAGCCAGGCTCTCTTGATATCCTCACAGTAGGTAGAACCAGAGGGTCAATGTGTGGTCTTTTTTTTTTTTTTTTTTTTTTTTTTTTTTTGAGACGGAGTTTCGCTCCTTACCCAGGCTGGAGTGCAATCGCGCGATCTCGGCTCACCGCAACCTCCGCCTCCTGGGTTCAGGCAATTCTCCTGCCTCAGCCTCCTGAGTAGCTGGGATTACAGGCACACGCCACCATGCCCAGCTGATTTTTTGTATTTTTAATAGAGACAGGGTTTCACCATGTTGACCAGGATGGTCTTGAACTCTCGACCTTGTGATCCACCTGCCTTGGCCTCCCAAAGTGCTGGGATTACAGGCTTGAGCCACCGCGCCCGGCTCAATGTGTGGTCTTTTGACACTTAGTATCCTCCTGAATTCCAGTTCTTTCTCAACCAGAGAGTGGCTGTGGGAACTTGGGCAAGTCATGTAGTCTCTCTGAGCCTCTATTTCCTTGCCTGTAAAATGGGGACAGGGATAAAACCTGCCTAACCAGCTTATTGTGAAATGCAGAATCAGTACTTGCTACAATGCTCTTCAGCCTCCCAAAGCTTCAAAACACTGTCTGGATGGGAAGGATTCCTAGTCCCCCATCCCACACACCCTCCTGATAGCCCCTTCCATAGGTCTCACGAGAAGTTGGGGTTCACGTTGACGTGGTGGGCGCCCTCCACCTTCCGCAGGTCACTGCCGTGGCCCACGGCCACCATGCAGTTGATGCAGAGTAGCTGCACATGCTCCATGGGGAACTGCCGCCGCTGGCTCTCGCGCTGGGCTGCCTGGGCTACCCGCTTGGTCATGGCTGCCTGCTGCAGATCCTGGATCTGGGGTGGGAAGGGACACCAGGCATAGCTGGGGGTTAAGAGAATTGTCCCTAGGGGACAAAGGGTTCCAAAGATCTGAGATCATCTGTACCCAGAGAACCTCCTTAACCCTCCCTGGAGCTCTCTTAAAAGAGGCTGTGTTGCCAGGCGCAGGGACTCACATCTGTAATCCTAGCATTTTAGGAGGCCAAGGCAGGTGGATCATGAGGTCAGGAGTTTGAGACCAGCCTGGCCAACATGGTAAAACCCCGTCTCTACTAAAAATACAAAAGTAGCCGGACATGGTGGCACATGCCTGTAATCCTAGCTACTCAAGAGGCTGAGGCAGAGAATGCACCACTGCACTCAGCCTGGGTGACAGAGCAAGACTCTGTCTCGGGTGAAAAAAAAAAAAAAAAAAGAAGCTATGGAGAGAAACAGTATGGGTAGTGGGGGCAACAGCGGGAGGGGTAAGCTTTCTTTCTGAATCTTTGCTTCATCTTTGAAGGATTTCAGGCAAAGCTACTTCTGTGACTCTGTCATGGGGCATCATTAACAATTATGCTGGGGTAACAAGGAACACCCTGGACCAGGTGGTGGCTCTGCCTCAGGGGAACTGATGTTATAAGTCCCAGTTCTGGACTTATCTTCTGCACATGGACTTATTTCCTCCTCTCTGCCTGGTTCCAGAAGGGCTGTAATGCAGCTCTTGCAGATACATAAAGTATCTCATGGCAAGGATAAATCAAGAGCCCTGGATAAAGCCTGTTCCCAAGGCCTTCTGGAGTCCAGGCACTGCCTTCCCTGGCAGCCCCACACCTGGCGTCTCTCCAAACCTTCCCTAGGTGGGCAAATTTAGCTCTGAAATGTAGAGGAGACAGGGGGACATATGTGTGCTATCAGAAATCTGCCAGGGAGTGCTTCCTCCACCCCATCCCTCCCACAGGGCATGCAGGCCGTCTGCAGACCTTGGCCTGGTACTCGGCCCGGTCCATTTTCTGCACAGCAGCCACTGCCTGCTCCATCAGCGTCTCCAGCGCCTCGTTGATCAGCTCCCGCTGCAGCTCCCGACTACCCTTAGTTGCTACAAATGAGTACACACTCTGACCCGCTCGGGCACGACCTCTGGCCTGGGAAGGGAGACAAGGGCGGTCCTGAGTTGGGCTGGGGCCCCACACAGCAACCTGTGAGGGCTGCCGAGTGGAAGGGAATGTGTGCGCACCTGGACCATGGAGATCTCATTGGTTAGGAGCCCATAGCGCACCACCACATTGCACTGTGGGATGTCCAGCCCCTCCTCGGCCACACTCGTGGCCACCAGAAGGTTCAGGGTTCCACTTCGGAAATTCCGGATCACTTCTTGCTGGTCCTTCTGCAGGGGGAGGGCAGGGAGGAGAAAGAGGCTGGCTCAGGCTGACGCCTCCCTGCCAGAGCAGCCTCTCCTGGTTCAGCCCTCACTCTCAATCTTGGTCCATCTCCCTAGAGCACTTGAACCCCTTCTCTATCCCCAGGTACCCCCAGGATCATATCCATCTTCCCAGATGCCTATCCAACCCCTAACTTCCCTAGAGACTCTAAGAGTCCCTGACCCTCTAGGAACAACTCCCAAGCCATAATCTTCTCCTGCAGGGGACCCCAGACCTGATCTGCCCTGAGGATCTACATCACCCACCTTTTTCCTACAGACCCCCATGTCCTACCCTTCTGTCTGCAGGGACCCCCCAGACTGGGAGAGGCTTCAGCACTGGGGATGTCAGTGTCTACCCACCTCCCCCAGCTCCCTGCCCCTCTGCCTGGGGATAGTCAACCTTCTTCCCCCAGGGTCTCAATGTCCCCACCTCTCTGCGCTGAAGACCCTGTTCCCCGAACTTGTCTCCTATGGAATCCCCGCCACTGCACGGCGTCTTGCCCTGAAGCCCACACCTGGGTCATGTGGGTGCTCTGGCTGCTGTTCCCAGATCCGATCAGTAACTGGGCCCGGATGTCCACAGTCCGCAGGCCCGGCTGCTGCTGGAGCCACAGCAGGAGGGAGTGTGCGCTCTGGCGGGTGCGGGTGAAGATGATGCCCCGGGGGCTGTCAGAGCTCCTGAACTGCTTCTGCAGGATCTTTTCCAGCATCTCCAGTTTTGGATTCTCCAGGCCATGAGTTGCCAAGTGGGCCAGCACATTCTTGTGGTCTGTTGAAAAGTCCAAAAAGTTTGCCAGGTATAGTGGCGCATGTCTGTAATCCCAGCTACTTGTGAGGCTGAGGGCAGAAGGATTGCCTGAGCCCAGGAGGTCAAGGATGAAGAGAGCTGTGATTGTACCACTGTACTCTAAGCTGCGTAATAGAGTGAGACTTTGTCTCAAAAAAAAAAAAAAAAAAAAAAAAAAAAAAAAAAAAAAAAAAAGAAAGAAAGAAAGAAAGAAAAGAAAAGGAAGGAAGGAAAGGGGCCGGGCGCAGTGGCTCACATTTGTAATCCCAGAACTTTGGAGGGTAAGGCAGGCAGATCATGAGGTCAAGAGATCAAGACCATCCTGGCAAACGTGGTGAAACCTCATCTCTATTAAAAGTTAGCTGGGCATGGTGGTGCACGCCTGTAATCCCAGCTACTCAGGAGGCTGAGGCAGAATATGCTTGAACTTGGGAGGCGGAGGTTGCGGTGAGCCGAGATCGCGCCACTGTACTCCAGCCTGGCAACAGAGGAAGGAAAGAAAGGAAGAAAAGAAAGGAAAGAAAGAAAGGAAAGGAAAAAGGAAGAGAGGAAGGAAGGAAGGAAGGGAGGAAGGGAGGAAGGGAGGGAGGGAGGGAGGGAGGAAGGGAGGGAGGGAGGAAGGAAGGGAGGGAGGGAGGGAGGAAGGGAGGAAGGGAGGGAGGAAGGGAGGGAGGGAGGAAGGAAGGGAGGAAGGAAGGAAGGGAGGAAGGGAGGGAGGAAGGGAGGGAGGGAGGAAGGAAGGGAGGGAGGGAGAGAGGGAAGGAAGGAGAGAGAGAGGGAGACCGACCAACCCCAAACAGAGGCAGAGGATTCAGGTCTTGGAGTGGGGAGGGCACTGGTGGAGGAGGTGGTCACAGGAATAGGAGTGCAGAAGGTGGGGGCGGGGGGAGGATGGAGCTCCTGCTTGACTCCCTGACCAGGAGCACCAAGACACATTTAAGGATGCCTCGACTGGGCGCAGTGTCTCACACCTGTAATCCCAACGCTTTGGGAGGCCAAGGTGGGTGGATCATTTCAAGTCAGGAGTTCAAGACCAGCCTGGACAACATGCTGAAACCCCATCTCTACAAAAAAGTACAAAAAGTAGCTGGATGTGCTGGTGTGCCCCTGTAGTCCCAGCTGCTCAGGAGGCTGAGGTGGGAGGATCACTTGAGCTGTGATCACGTCACTGCACTCCAGCCAGGGTGACAGTGAGACTCCCTCTCAAAGCAAAAACAAAAACAAAAAGGATGCCTCCTGCCGAGCCCACTCTCAAGGCCAGCCTCACAACAGGGTCATACAGTACAGAACCTCAGACCAGAGCCCTTCAACCCAGCCACCAGGATGACCCTTGAACTTTTCACTCTGACTTCTGCTACCCAGATCTTTTGAGTTCCAGCCTGTGCTGAGATTTTCAGCCTTAAAGTTCACCCTCTGACTTTCAGCCTTACTCTCCCAGTCTAAAGGAATCACTCCTAACTAGTGGTTTAAAAAAATCTGGGCCACCAGGTGTGGTGGCTCACGCCTGTAATCCTAGCACTTTGGGAGGCTGAGGTGGGTGGATCACCTGAGGTCAGGAGTTCAAGACCAGCCTGGCTATCATGGTGAAACCCCATCTTTAAATAAATAAATAAATAAATAAATAAATAAATAAAATTTAAAAATCTGGGCCAGGCGCAGTGACTCACACCTGTCATCGAAGCACTTTGGGAAGCAAAGGTAGAAGAATCACTTGAGCCCCGGAGTTAGAGACCAGCCTGGGCAACAAAGAGAGACTCCGCCTTTACAAAAAAAAATTTTTAATTAGCAGGGAGTGGTGGTGCCCACCTGCAATCCTGGCTACTCGGGAGGCTGAAGGGTGAAAATCACTTGAGCCCAGAAGGTCGAGGTTGCAGTGAGCTATCATTGCACAACTGTACGCCAGCCTGGGCGACAGAGCAAGATCCTGACTCTTAAAACAAAAGTCAATAATGTGAATCAATTTTAATAACTATGCAAAAACCTTCCCAAATGAGGAAATAAATCCGTCCTACCCATGGCCTTGAATTTTGGTTAGAAAAATAGGATCTCCACTAGTATCCTCGCGGGTACCTTCCCATCGGTCTTGGCACCTGTGCCCTAGCCTCTGATCTCGCATCCAGGCCCCATCACCCCCGCCCAAGAACCCCCCCTCCCGTCCCTCACCATTGAACAGGGCCAGCAGCCAGCGCTCAGCACACAGGATCTGGGTTTTAGTGGCGTGCTCCCTTTGATAGAAACTCTGCAGCGCAGCCAGGGCGTCCACGGCGCGGACGGTGTCGTGGATGAGGAGCGCGTCATTGTAGCGCCTCAGGTGAAGCGCGTAAACCCGTTGCTCCAGGAGCCCAGCCAAAGCCGCTGCCGGTAGAGGGCGGAGGGTCTGAGCGGGTCCCTGCCCGCCCCCTGCCCCACCCTCTGCCCGGCCCCATAGGGACCTCCCACTCAGACTCCACCCCTGGAGTGGCTAGGCCCCGCCCCTAGGGCCTCCGCCCAGGCAGGGCCCACCCCTGACCACTCCCACATCCTCGCCTCCGCCTGAGGGGCTGCCCCTCTCACCAGTCTCGCTCAGCTTCACCACCTGCTGCTCATATGTCTGTTTCCCAAAGTCCCGACTCAACTCAGGCATCTCCAGATGGTCGTGGATTTGGTCCATGAGCTTCTTCAGCAAGTCCCCAAACGGATCCTTAGCAAGAGGAGAGTTGGAGGGGATTCCCATACACGTGGGAAGGTGCCTGCGAGGATACTGGTGGACACCCCATTTTTCTAACCAAAATGTGTTGGAGGATGGGAATCAGTGGGGGCGCTGACCCCGGCGTGCAGCGCACAGAGACTGCCTCACCCATCTGTCTTAGCTGAGGTGAGAGCTCCAGAGGGAGGTTGGCTGGGGTGTGGAGGAGTCCTGGACAGAGGCAGGGGCCAGGTTCCTGCACCCGACTCCTGCTCTGTCTCACCCTCGATGTGCTCTTACCCTTTGGCCTGGGCATGGTGGGGCCTAGCACATGGATGTGCTTTGGTCAAGGAATAGGCAGAGGCAGACATCCGGGCCAGGATGACTCAGTGAGTTTAGGGGGCAGGCGCATACTCCACTTGCTATAGCCTGTTTGTGTAAGTTCATACTGACTCTGAGCCTCTATTGTCAGAAGAAGGTATAACTGCCCTGCTGATGCTGTGCACGGGGCTCAGTTCTGCATGGTAGGCCAGCGCATGTGGGCGCACCCAAAGAGAGAATAATGCTACTAACCCTTTTAAGGGAGAGCTGGTCACCTTGAAGGTGAGCAGCGGGGAGCCAGGAACCAGCTTGTGCCCAGAGGAAGAGAGTTAACTGCTGACCCTGACAGAGCTGGCCTTGCAGGCCAGGGAGTGCAGCTGCAGGCAGGGGGGTGGCAGGAGCCACAGAGCCAGAGCAGACAGCCCAGATAAAGTGGGACAGTGTGAGAGAGCTAGTGTGAGAGAGCCGCAGCTGCTAAATAAAACTACATTTTTTCTTTGTTTTTAAGACAGTTTCCCTCTTGTTGCCCAGGCTGGAGTGCAATGGTGCAATCTCGGTTCACTGCAACCTCTGCCTCCTGGGTTCAAGCGATTCTCCCGCCTCAGCCTGCCGAGTAGCTGGGATTACAGACATGCGCCACCACGCCTGGCTAATTTTATCTTGTTAGTAGAGACGGGGTTTCACCATGTTGGCCAGGCTGGTCTTGAACTCCTGACCTCAGATGATCTGCCAGCCTCGGCCTCCCAAAGTGCTGGGATCATAGGCGTGAGCCACTGTATCTGGCCTAAAATTACATTTCACCAGCCCATGGCCCCGCTGAGGGTTCTTTCAGATATCTGCTCATTCACTCCCCGCAGACCACAGCGTGGGCTCAAGCCTGTCGCCAAGTATAACATTGGTGTAGTTGTGGACCTGACACCTAGTCCTTGTCCTGTTCAGTCACAGCAGGCACCAGGCCCTGGCCGCATTGGAGAGGGCTCAGCACAGCCTCAGCACAAAGTGGCCCTGCTCTTTGGTTTGCAGAGCACTCCCCAGCATGTCAGTGCTGTGACAGGCGCAGGCGGTGCCTTCTGAGTCAATCTGAAGAGTGGGCTGTGGGCACGGGCTGTATCTGCCCCATTTCACGGAGAGGAGAAATTGAGGCTCAGACACAGAGCAAGTGACCTGAAGTCATACAGCTAGTGAGGGTGGAGTCAGGTGCCAAGCCTGGGGTCCTCACTTCACACGGGCTCCCACTCCCACCATGTCCCTGCCCCCGTGTACCTGGCTGCGCCTTTGGCAGAGGTCGTACTGTTTGCAAGGTTGCTGGCTGTGCTCCTGCAGCTGGGGGAAGTAGTTCTGGGGTGACATGATGCACCACGTGTCCAAGTTGGCACAGAGCTGGCGGCAACAGAAAGGACTTTACTGGAAAGTAAGGGTCTGTGGGGACAATGGGCAAACTTTTGGGGCAGGATGGATCCCAGCTGAGGACAGGAGAGGGGGAGGCCATTGGGGGCATGGACATTCATCTACTCAAATATTGCTCGCCCTCTCTGTGCCAGTCTTGTTCTAGGCACTGGGGACACAAAGGAACTCAGACTGGAGTTGGAGAGACAGATAATAAACCAGCAAAGAATAATGGAACCTTGCAGAGCGTTTTAACAAGCTCTGAAGAGGCTAGCACTGGATGATATGACAGAGAGCGGAGGGGGCCATCAGGGAGGACTTTGAAGAAGTGGCATTTAAGCTGCTCAGTGAATGACAAGGAGGAGGTAGCAGGTAAAGTTCAAAGGGAAGGGCATTCCAGGCAAAAGAAATGGTAAGTGCAAAGGTCCCAAGATGGGAAGAAGCCCGGCACATCCAAGAAGCAGAAGGCAGGCCAGCGTGGCTGTAATATGAACTACGGTTAATTCTTTGTGCCATAAGAAGCCATTGGAGGCTGGATCTTAGGTGAGGAAGGGGCCAGACCCTGCCATGGAGAGCCTGGGTAATGCTGGGGGGGATGGGGTAGTGGGTGGGCAGGCAGGGAGGGAGGGAGGGAGGTCCGTGGTGTGTCTGGTGGTGGGAGGTACACAGGGCCAGGCTGACCTGTAGGACATGGTTGATGGCTCCATCGAGCTTGGAGGCCCCGCCGGTGCCTGGGGAGGCTGTGAGACCCAACACCTGGGGCAGGGGCCGGGCCCTCTGGAGTTTAAGTTCTAGGTACCGGCTCATGATGACGTTGTAGACAGTGTCCTTGTGGGTGTGGTGGCACTCATCCACCACGATCAGGGAGAAGGCTGGGTGCACAATGGGGAAGGCTGTGACCCATGTTTGCCAAGCCCTTCCCTCCCATAAACTCTCAGGTAGTCCGCACAATAATCTAAGAACTCCTTCTTCCTTTCACAACCTGCAGCTGGGTCCCAGGATGAAAAGCCAGGCACGGGTGATTTCTCTCCATTTCACAGATTAGTAAATGGAGGCTCAGCTGGGGAAGGGAATTGCCTAAGATCCTACACCATAGCCCAGCCTGTTTCTGCTAATGTCTGCTGGGGTTTTGTAAACAGGCTCCCACAAAAACTCCCACCACCTTTACTTCGGGAGGTGCCCTGGGGTTGGCGGAGGAGGTACCCCGGGTGCATATCCTTTTTCCCCCTGTCCACGGCCCTCACCCGTGAGCTCCACGTGCTCCTCCTCCTCAGGGCTGGTCAGTGCCATCTGCAGCAGCTGTGCTGTGCAGATGAGCAGGTCATGGCACCGGGCCAGGTGGCCAAAGCCAGCACGTGGCCCCACGTCCCCACTCAAGGTTGTCATGGTCCAGCGTCCATCTAGCATGCGGCTGAACTCTTCACCATGCTGGGTCACCAGGTGCACCTGGGGGTGGAGAACGAGATGGGAAGAGAAAGCTGAATCTGGGGCCAGGGGAGTGGGGAGGAGGTAAGGTGACCCGCAGGACATAGCTGGGTACTGAGCCGGGGTGGAAAGACAGGTGAGCTTAGGGATGGCCACAGCAGCTCTGGAATTCTGGTAGGGACAGAGAGGCGCCTGAAGAGCTGAGACCCTGCTTGGTGGTGGGGGAGTGGGGCAGGACGGGCAGGGCAGACCACTCACCCTGTTGACCAATACAACCACCTTGGCTCCATCCACAGTCTCTAGGTGCTGCCTGGCCACATAAGCAGCTGCCCGGGTCTTCCCAGCACCAGTGGGCAGCCAGATGATGATATTCTTGCCCTCCAGGGCAGGCGTGATCACCTCCCGTTGGTAGGGCCGCAGCTCCATTCTGGGAATAGCGGGAGACTCAGACCCACTGGCCCCTCCACCCCTCCCAACTCCTGGCCAGACCAGTCTGTGCGGAGACTTCCCTTTTGCCCGGGACTCCACCCCACTTGAGGGAGGTGGGGCAGGACACCCTCAAAACCCATCAGGAGCCTGCTCCGTCGGGAGCGGGAGTAACACAGGCTACACCTGCCCCCTGCCCAGCCCAGGTCTCACCTGTTCTACCATGTAAGCTTGCCCAGGGCGGCCCTGCGTAGCTCAGCTCGGTGACGCTGTGCTCAGCTCAGAGATCTGAAATGGAAACCGAAACTGAGGGGAGGAGCCAGCTGAGCCGACTTAGGAATCTTCCATCCCTGCCCCGAGAAAAAGAATCAAGAAGAAAAAGAACCGTTTGTGCTAACAGTCATCGCCAACTGCCGCGAGTACAAACCCTGAATGGCGAGTACTGCCACTGTGCCAGCGCCAGGGTAGGCATCATCCTCTCCCTTGCTAGGACCACAGCTCCGTTCTGGGAATGGCAGGGGACTCGGACCCACTGGCCCCTCCACTCATCCCGCTCCTGGCCAGACCGGTCCATGCAGAGACCTCCCTTTGCCCAGGACTCCACCCCACTTGAGGGAGGTGGGGCAGGACACCCTCAGAACCCATCAGGAGCCTGCTTTGGCCAAAAGGTGGGGGTGGGAATAACACAAGCTACACCTGGCCCCTGCCCAGCCCGGGTCTCACCTGCTCCATCAGGTAGGCCTTAGCTCGGCCTCCTGCCTAGCCTGGTGCTGCTGTGCTCAGCACAGAGAGTAGAGATCGGATATGGAAACTGAAATTGAGGGGAGGAGCCAGATGAGCCGACTCAGGAAAACTCCCATCCCTGCCCCAAGAAAAAGAATCGAGTGTGCTGACAGGGAAGTACTCTCACTGTTACGGGTCCTCTACCCTCTGGCCCCTTTGCAGTCAGTTGTAACCACAGCTACCCAGGCAGGGGGTTCTGACCCGTTGCCCTGGCATCTGGATCAGGAGCAGCTTGGAGGAGGGAGGGTGGGCGGCTGCAGCCAGGCAGGACCCATCACCCTAGGACAGGCGTCCCCAAACTTTTTACACAGCGGGCCAGTTCACTGTCCCTCAGACTGCTGGAGGGCCGCCACATACTGTGCTCCTCTCACTGACCACCAATGAAAGAGGTGCCCCTTCCTGAAGTGTGGCGGGGGGCCAGATAAATGGCCTCAGGGGGCCGCATGCGGCCCGCGCGGCCGTAGTTTGGGGACGCCTGCCCTAGGATCACAGGACCAGGCCTGAGGCTTGCTGGGGAGGGCAGCTTCCAGCTTGTAAGAGATCACTGAGGGCAAAGGCCAGCCTGCTAAGGCTGGGAGTACACCGAAGAAACAATCACACACAGAAATAAAAAGAGCTTTATTGTTCCCTCTGAGGGATTAATGCCAGGGAGTGAATGGTCCCCATACCCTCCTGCCCTGGGGGAGGCTGACAGAACAGTACCGGGCAAGGCATGGCCCCTCCAGTCCGAGCTGGACTTCCAGCCCCTGCAGCCATCCCTCAAGCTAAAATGAGCAGTCCTGGTCCTCAGGGAAACAGCCACCCGGGCCAGGCCCAGGACGCCAAGCCTTCACAGCTCTTAGGGAACAGGTCTGGGGGCCACCAAGGTTGGGCAAGGTCCATCCCTGGCCAACAGCCGCTCTAGAGGAGCTGGGCCCAGACCCAGGAGACCGCTCACACACACAGTAACGGCTAGGACAGAGCTGCAGGCCTGGGGGTGCCCGAAGGTCCAGAGAGGGCTGCAGGATCGGGGCCGGAGGGTCCCTGGCTGGAGTGTCGCAAGCTGAGTTGTGTCCGTGGGGCCAGGGCACCCCCTAAGGATCAGATCAGAATCCGAGGTGGAGATGTTCCAGGTCACGGCTGCGGCCCAGAGCTGGGGCCTACTTGTCAATGAGCCCCCCCTCCTTGAGCTTGAAGTAGAAGAACTTCTCCAGGGCACTGGCACAGCGGCAGTACTCGCTGTCGGGGGGGTTGTACTCGCGGCAGTTGGCGATGACCCGCTGCAGGTCGGCCACAAAGAGCTTCCGGGTCACGTAGTAGCGGCTTCGCAGACGTTCAGTCATGGTCTTCAGGTCTGGGGCAGCAGGAGACGGAGCACAGCTTTAAGAGGCTGAGGGCTGTGGCAGGGCTGTCCGCCGGGGTGGGCCCCGTGGGGCTGCAGGGTGCAGTGAGGACAGGAGCAGGGGTGGGGACAGAAGAGGAGGGCAGGGGATGGAAGGCACGGTCCTCACCAATGGGGAAGCGGATGACCTCGTAGTAGTCAGGGGCCTCCGACTTCTTCACAGGCTCCATGAAGGGCCAGGCACTGGGGTGCGACTGGAGAGAAGAGCCCAGCTGGGGACAGCCCTGCTGCACCCACGCCAGCCTGAGACCACCAGCCACCCCACACTGCATCAAGAGGCCACGGCCATTGGTGCAGGGGCCCTGGAAAGGAAACCCGCTCTCCTCACCTTGATTTGGGCCAGCAGGTTTTTGAGGGTTGTGTAGAGCTGGTCGGGGTCCTTCAGCTCCTTCCTGGGGCAAGAGACACCAAGTCTGAGACTCCAAGTCCCTCTGGCCCACCCCCAACCCAGCTCTCTTGACAAAACACTCACCCCTTCTCCTTCCCCAATGGCTTCCAGCCCGTCTCTCCTGCAAAGTGGGGAGCAGGAGAACGTCCCTGAGAATGCCAGTCCACACCCCAAGCAGCGTGCCCCCCCAACCCCTACCCCGCAACCCAGACCCCTGCTTACGAATGCCGGGGACGCTCTCCACAGGGATCTGCCTCACGCCTTCCTTGAAGCAGCTGAGCCCCGGGTAGACCTTGCGGATCTGGGCCTGTTTGCGTTCAATCAGCTTCTTGATGATCTGAGGGGAGGAAGGGTCTGAGGGGCAACTCCAGCCCCAGCAACGGCCCCTCCAGGGGCCATTGTCGGAGCCAGCTGCACCCACCTGGCTGCACCACCACCTAATCCAGCACCTTCTCTCGTTACTTCCCCAAAGGAGGCAGAGGAAGAACCAAGCTCCAGCCTGTGCCCTCCTCACTCACACACACGCATGCACACGTGGTATAGGTCTACACACGTGCGCTGGCCCTCCGCAGGCACATTCATGAAAATCCCACAGACGCGCACACCACCTCTTTCTGCTTCTTGATGATGTGGGACAGCTCCGTGTAGGGGATTCGGGGATTCAGCTCACACTCCATCAGTGTCGCTCCCTCGTAGTCCTTAATGTAGCCCAGGTAGCGGCTCTTGGGCACCTTGATGTCTTTGGAGAAGCCCTGGGGAATGGATGGTCACGACCCAGTCCATCTGTAAGTATTTCCCACCTTCTGCCGTCCCTTCCCTGGGAGCATCAGTGGTGCTTGCCATGTGCCGCCGCCCGATCCTGAACCTCCCCCTGGGGCACCGTGAGGCTTCACACTGTCCCTGGAAAGGTCCCAGGTCATCGCCCGCTCCCAACTCATCCCCAAGAGCCCCCCGGTTCCTCCAGCCTGCTCTACGGGCCCCACAGGCCCCTGTTCTCTCCTGGGGCAGCAGCAGCAGCAGCAGCAGGGGAAGGAAGGAAGGCAGGCATGGAGACTTCCCTGGCAGGTGTCAGGTGAGACGGGACGCAAAGAGACTCCTACTCCATCAGACAGAACGATCCCAGGATCTAGGCAAAGGACGCGTGTGGGGCGAGGCCACAGGTCACCTGCTTTTTGAAGTAGCCGATGGCGTACTCGTCAGCATAGGTGAGGAAGTAGAGGATGTTGTGCTTGATGTGATACTCCTTCAGGTGGTTCATCAGGTGGGTCCCATAACCCTGCGGGGGAGGGCAGCAGGACTCACCAGGAGCAGAGGCTGGGCCTGGTGCTGGAGAGGTCTCAGAGCCCACAGCGGACAGGGCAGATTGGAAAGGAGGTAGGGAGAGCGAGAGCATCCAGGCACGAGGAAGAGCAGCTGGCAGAGGAAGGAGAGTTTATGGGGAGAAAGGGAAAGCTGCGGGCTAAGCTGACTCTGGGTCAGGTGCAGTACTTGCTGTTTTACAGACCGATTCGCAAACTAACCCCAGAGGCGAGTATTACCACCTCTGTTTTATAGAAGAGAAAACGGAAACTCAGCTACCTTAAGTAATGTGTTGACGGTCAGGCTGCCAGCCATGGCCCACACACAACACGGGCCACTGATTCCCAGTCCTTGGGCCTCAGAGTTGGGGGAAAAGGGAGAGGGAATCACCAGCGGCAGGGGCAGGAGCAATGCCTCCCACAGATCAGGGCCAACGATGCACCATGCAGCTCTGGGGTAGGTGACACACAGAACCAGAGAGAGACCCTGCGAGTGGGTCTGTTGTGACAAAGGCCAGAAGCCAATACTATCGGCACAGGGCTACTGTAATAATTATTAGTTCAGCTGGGAGCAGTGGCTCCCGCCTCTAATCCCAGCACTTTGGGAGGCCAAGGCAGGAGAATCACAAGGTCAGGAGTTGAAGACCAGCCTGAGCAACGTGGCGAAACCCAGTCTCTACCAAAAATCCAAAAATTAGCCAGGTGTAGTGGTGCACGCCTGTCGTCCCAGCTACTTGGGAGGCCGAGGCAGGAGGATCACTTGAGCCTGGGAAGCAGAGGCTTCAGTGAGCCATGATCTGCATTCTGGCCTGGGTGACAGAGACCATGTCTCAAAAAATAAAAATAAATAAAATAATGCATTCCCCCATGTATGTAAATGTTCTTGTGATGAAGAAAACCCACGTCTACAGGTGCACCGAAGTGCGGCTGCTGCTCGGGCTCCGTTTGGGAACAGGTGGTTTCCTAATCCAGTTATTAAAGTACGGCTGCCACCTTGTGGGGATGTGAGGAACTGGCCGCTTAACTAGGAGAGGAGCAGGGGCTGCTGCACCCCACACATCCTGCTGCTCAGAAGCCGGCCGTAGGATGGGGCTGGGGCCAGGGAGCTGCGCTCACCTTGACCTGCTCATTCGAGGTGACCGCACAGAAGACAATCTCGGTGAAGCCCTGGGTGGGAAACATGCGGAAGCAGATGCCGCCGATAACCCGCCCGTCCTTGATCAAGGCCAGAGTCTTGTGCTTCCTAAGAGAGAGGGAGGCACACCACAGTCCCTGCCTGTCCCCTTCAGAGCCCTGGAAGTCTGAGCTGTAGTCAGGGTTGGACAGTGAGAAGTAAGAATGCTCCAAGGTTGAACCTCACAAGTGGGGAGAAGGGGATCCCCAATTTTGAGGCGTGAGGAGGTGGAAGAGGAGGGGCTCCCAGGTGTGTTGCCCTGGGGGAGGGGCTCTGCGGGGGACGCACGGGTCAAAGACGAGGCGGGCGATGTACTCCTTGGGCATGCGAGGCAGCTGGTGGGAAAAGACATTCTGCAGCCCCACGAGCCACAGCAACACCCGCCGGTTGGCCTTGGGCGTCAGCGAGTTGCCGATGACGTGGAACTCGATGATGCCTCGACGCTCCTCCAGGCGGGCTGTCTCATCCCGGGCTGCATTGGCTGACAGCAGGCTCGTCTAGGCAGAGAGGAGGGGCAGTGGGCCAGGGTCTCAGGTTGGTGGGGGGGGGGGGTCCCCCAGCTGGTCAGCAGGTCGGGCTGCCCACCTCAGGCCCCAGCATGGCAGCAGGGTCGGTGATGGTCAGCATAACCTCGTTGACCAGCTCCATGGGGATGTCGCCCATCACGCGGAGGCGCTTGGCATCCTCCAGGGTCAGGTTCTCCGGGAGCTTCCTCTTCTCGCCTATGGAGGAGGTAGGCAAGGTTGTCCAGGAACAGTAAAAAACGTTTGGGGGAGGGGTGAATGAGGGTCAGAGGTCAGGGGTTGAATATCCCACCTGGCATAGGCTCGGCCCCTGTGGAATCCAGACTCAGGGAGCTGTTGCTGCCCCCACCCATGCTGGGGCTGAAGATGGGAGTACTGGGAACAACCGCTGCACTGACTGTAGCTGAAGAGAGAGAGGGGGGTGGCGAGAGAGGGGTAGGGGAGAGAGAAACAGACAGACAGACAGACATAGATCAGGGACAGGGGGTTGCAGCTGTTGGCAGGTCCCTCAATGGGATCCAGACCCTCCAGCTCAGCTGAGCCCTCTTCCACCCAGGAGGCTTAGCTCAGCCAGGGAGGCCAGAGACCCTACGGAGCCTACCATGGCACATACCTGGCCGGGGCACCAGCTGTGTCCCCTCTGAGGGTGGCATGGTGAAGCCTGACTCCCAGATTGGAGAGTTTGCCCCATAGATCTCCTCCTCCAGCATGGACAGGAATCTGTAGGGCGGACACAGTCTGTCCCACAACTCTATCCTACAACCGTGCAGCCTGGGCCAGGCAGCAGAGGGACTGGAGGCTGGTCAGAGACAGACCCTGCTCTTAGGGAACTGCGGGCCTCAAAGAGGAGACAGCCCCTGCCTTCTGGGAGCCTCCAATTGCAGGTAAGAGGACAGGACACATCCAGGACAGAGATCAAAGAGGCTCAGTTTCGCCATGCTGGGCAGCACAAGGAGACAGGTCGGAGCTGATGTCATCCTGTGCTGTGTGGCCAGGCAGGACACCTTGTCACCGTGAGTCCCCTCACTGCCCTCAGGATCAAAATGGGCTCAGACTCCACCCCACCTTGCCATTTTTTGTTCCCACCTGGTGGCAGGGGGCACTAGAGAGCCAGGATTAGTCAGTAAGGCTTTTTGAACAGGGGAGTTAGGACCCAGATTTTAAAAGGTGTGGCCAAACAGAAGAACACAGTACAGAAAAGACCAGAACAGGAGTGGAAATGGGTTTCACTTCAAGCGTAAGCTCTGCTTTCTTGGAGAGCTGTGCAGGGAAGGAGTCTGAGGCTGTGTCCAGGCCCCCATGGGAAATAATTAGTAACGTCTACCGGGGCGTGGGGTGAGGGGGGCAGCGTTAGCTCGGGCCATGTACCTGCCATCCCCAGACTAGTACTAGCAAGTTGCTTCTGGGCCATGGGCAAGTCTGCCAGGTAGACGCCCAGATCCCAGAAGGCCCATGGAGGGAGAGGAGGGACCAATCCAGGAAGCCTTCCTGGAAAAAAGGGGACAACAGGGAGGAAGTGAACTTGGTGCCAAATCCTGACAGGCCAGAAGGAGCCTTACTTGGGGAAGTGAGTGAGGATGAGGGTCCTCTTCTCCGGCACCAATTTGTCCTTCTCCACTCGGAACTTTTCCAGCAGCTGCCGGCGGGTGACAGTGAAAATGGACCGGAGAAGGCTTCGCCCAAAGACATGAGTGGTTTCATAGCGAGGCAGGCTGTCGCAGCTCTGGGGCACGTGGCAGTAACAGAGCCATCTAGAGTAGGGGGCAGAGGAGAAACAGGTGAGGGCGGAAACCACCGAACCCAGGCTGAGCCTGCAAGGGGGAGCCCGCAAGCCTGCCCCGGCGCTGCCCCCAGCTGAGCCTACCTGGTGTAATTGACCTTATAGGTAGCCACGTCCTCAGCCTGAGACCGCTGCCGAAACTGGGCAGGTGTCTCAAGCTTCCAGTAGTTAAGGCAGAGCAAGAACATCTTTGAGAGCTCAAACATCGTCTGCCGCTCCCGGGGAGCCAGGTGACTAAACTTGTACTGCACAAAGTTCAGCACACCCTGAGAAGGGGTGGTGGGTGGGGATAAAACCAGGAATGAGGTGTGAGCAGCCTGCAGGGCCTTCTTAAGACAAAAGAAGATGCTTCCTGAGGCCAGGGACAAGGGTCTCCCCTCTCTCTCAGGTGCTCTCTATAGAGAAGCTCTGCCCCCTCCCTACCGCACCGAGGTTAGCAAAAAACACCCTCCCTTCTCTGAACCTCCCCCATGTTCTCAGCTTGAGGATGGAGAACACAGGCTCCCCACTCCTCCAAGCTGTCCCCAATTCTCCTACCACCGATCTCCAATTCCCCTATCCCACCTGCTCAATATTAGGTTTCTCAAATGGTGGGCTGCCCAGGGACCCCTCCACCACGGGCCGGGTCATCTGCAGGATGCATTTCCGCAGGAGCTGGAGAGAAGAGGAAGGGGAGCCGGGGGTAGCAGGGCAAAGCTACAGACAACCCCTCAAGGCCCCACCTCCTTCACCCACTCACACCCTCCTTAGGTGGAAACTCACCTTGAAGAGGTAGAAATAGACCTGCTTGGTGTCTGTGTCCTCCTCCTTGTGAACAGACATGAAGAGATTCTCCACGTCTACCACCATCCCCAGCAGTCGGTTTATCTCATCCTCCGACACATTCTCCAAGTGGGATACGTGGTCAGCTGCAAGACAGGTGGCAGAGTTGGGAAAAACTGATAGAAGAGAGCAACAAGGTTTCTTGCCCCTCTTCACAGCCAACCAAGACACACACTCTGTCCTTCCAACCAGTGTGACCAACAGTGAGACTGACTGCTCCGATATCAACCGTTGGGTTGCCCGGCCCTGTTCTGTGCTGAGATTTCCTTTCTCCTTTCTTGATGCATGCCCACCCCCAACCCAATCCCTCCTTAGGAAGCATCTTTGATTTTTTCAGAGATGAGGCTTTGTGGGACTTGTCACCCTGTCCAAGCAGGACCCTGCACCTGCCCCCAGCTCCAAGGGCGCTGCCTGCCTTACCCAAGGGGTGCTCACAACTGCGGCACAGCTCACTCAGGTTGGCAGCTGGCTGTTGCAGATCCATGCGGGGTGCAGTGGGGGGCTTGGGGTTTTTCCAGCCATTACACTTACAGGTTTCATTGGCCTGGAGGCGGAAGGATCAGTCAGTGACCTATACCTCTGGGGCAAGAGCCGTTCCGCAGCCAGAGCTTTAACCCCATTCCCACCCGAGCCCAGGGATGCCCCAAGCCCCGCCCCTTCACCCCAGGCCCCGCCCCCACCTTGCAAGCCGAGAAGACCCCTAGCTTCTCTAGCTTCTTGGCGCGCGGCAGCCCCCGGACTTGCGCCTTCCTCTGGCTAGCGCGCTGCTGCTGGCTCAGGCCAGGTCGAGCCGGATCCCCCCCGCTCCCGGCCCCCCCACTTCCTACCCCGGGCCCCCCAGTCCCTGTGCTCCCGGCTGGGGCTGCAGCTGGGGCAGGGGCTGGTGCCGGAGTGGGAGTCGGAGTCGGGGCTGAAGCCGGGCTGGGTGCAGGAGTCGGAGTTGGGGCAGGGGCTGGGGACTGAAGGGGCCGGGGCTGCGCAGCCAGGGCCGGGGTCGGGGCCTGGGAAGGTTCCGCCATGGCCTCCCCCGCAGCGGAGAGCGGCGCCGCGCTCCCAGCCCTAGGGCCGCATGGGCAACCGGCGCTCAGTACGCAAGCGTCGCTGCGCGGCGCACGACGGGAGTTGTAGTCTTCCCGCTCTGTTCCCCCACTACCTTTAGCTTCCAGACTTTTCTGTCCTGTCTCTTGGTCCCTGACAGTCAAGTGAGGCCTGAGCGAAAGCCCCACATTGACGCCTCTTCCCTTCTAATCTCTTAGAAAGGCGTCTGGGCGAGTCACGATGGCTGTTCTCTTGGGGACAAGGAGTCTTGGGAGAATCGTGGGATCTGCCTCTTCCCCGAGCCTCTCTACCACTTAACCCTCTCCCCAACTCCTGCACAGGCCCTGCCCCATGCGGCTCCGGACACGGAATTGCAGCTGCGATAGAGATGAGAGGTAGCAACAGTTCTGCAGCAGTGTGGTGGTGACTTGGGTATGTTCTCTTCCTGACATTCACCTGCATCCTTTCGTGTGCTTTTCTGTATGTTTGTATTTAATAGTATCACTCAACAAAGGGAGTTTATCAGGCCAGGTGGCTGGCTGACGCAGGAGGACCGCTTGAGCCCAGGAGTTCGAGACCAGGCTGGGCAACGTAGGGAGACCCTCATCTCTACAAAAAATAAAAAAAATAAAATAAAGTTTATAGGCTGGGTGAGGTGGCTCACGCCTGTAATCCCAGCACTTTGGGAGGCCGAGATCGGAGGATCGCTTGAGCCTAGTAGTTCGAGATTAACCTGGGTAACATAACGAGACCCCTGTCTCTTAAAGTTTATCAAATAACAGCACCAGAGCCATAGCTGTGGTGACGATGGTCACCAAGGCTACTGAGGTGGAGGGTCAGGCAGAGGAGAGCTAGGTCTTTGTGCACTGGGAGCTGCTCTCCTGAAGCCCCAACTGTGTCTTAATCTTTGTGGACCCAGAACCCAGCTTGCCGCACAGGAAGCCCCGGGAGCAGATTTAAGGCAGCCGGAGAGACCAGTCTGCCTCCTCGTCCCACGGGTCGCGTGGAGTTGTGGATGGTCAGGGAGAGGCAGGGTGGATGACCCGGGAAGGCCGCCCTCCCCTGGCTCTATCTGGGAACAATCCTTGCCCCAGGTCTGGTCCTTAGGAGGCAAGACAGCGCCCTTCCAGCTAGCCAGCAGATCAGTCTGCTGCTGACTGCGGCGGGGTCCGGCTCCCTTGGATCTGGCCTGGTTGTGGATCCAGTTCCTTCACAGCCCCAGACCCACTGACGAGTTGGGGAAAGGCGGAGAAAGGATCAGGGTCTGGGATGAGAGCAGCTGCCTGGTGCTGGCAGTCTTGCTCTTGGTGGTAAGATGGGCGTGGCTGACCTCGAACTCCGCCTGCTTTTGCAGAAGTGAAGGAAGAGGGGAACCGAGCGGAGCCGAGCTCAGCTAGGCCGTGCGAGGTCCCTCCCCTCCTGGGGTCCTCGTGCCTAGCTCTGCGCTTCGGAGCCTCGAGCTCTTGGACAGCAGTTGGTTGCTCACTCGGATACAGAGGGTCGGTAAAACTTTCTCCGAGAGCCGGGTGCCATCCCAGTGTCCCAGCGTGGCCCTCGCTGAACGAAACCAGGCAGCCACACTGCCGGTGCGGCTGCTCAAGGACAGCCCGGCAGCTCACGAGGACAATGATCATGCTAGAGACAGTTTCCAAATGAAGATGGATGCCCGTGGCTTTGCCCCGGAGGAGCTGGTGGTGCAGGTGGATGGCCAATGGCTCATGGTGACCGGACAGCGGCAAATGGAGGGCAGTGACCCAGAAAGGGGCAGTTACAGCATGTCACAGAAGATGCACCGGAAAACGCGACTCCCATCCAACCTGAATCCCACCGCCATGACCTGCTGCCTGACCCCCTCCGGCCAGCTGTGGGTCAGAGGCCAGTGTGGGGCACTGGCTCTCCCTGAAGACCAAACAGGACCGTCCCTGAAACTCGGCAGCCTCAGCTCTAAGGCTTCCAAGCTGACCCAGTAAACAATAACCCTGTGTGCAGCAGCCTGGGTGTCCGTTGTCTTTCCTGGGAATGGGGTGAGAGGTAGGAGTGGAGGCACAGGAGGCAGGAAAGGCACCTCAAAGTGGTGGTCTACCAAGAATCAGGCCTCTGCGGGTGGTCCACTTGAGGCCAGGAGATGGAGACCAGCCTGGCCAACATGGTGAAAGCCCGTCTCTACTAAAAACACAAAATTAGGCATGGTGGTGTGTGCCTGTAATCCCAGCTACCAGAAACTGAAGCAAGAAAATTGCTTGACAGGAGGCTGAGGCAGGAGAATTGCTTGAACCCAGGAGGCGGAGGTTGCGGTGAGCCGAGATCGCACCATTGCACTCCAGCCTGGGTAACAAGAGCGAAACTCTGTCTCAAAAAAAAAAAAAAAAAAAGAAAAGAAAAGAAAATTGCTTGAATCTGGGAGGCGGAGGGAGATTACAGTGAGCCAAGATGCTGCCACTGCACTCCAGCCTGAGCCAGTAGGACTCGATCTCAAAAAATAAAAGGCCGGGTGCAGTGGCTCATGCCTGTAATCCCAGCACTTTGGGAGGCCAAGGCGGGTGGATCACTTGAGGCCAGGAGTTTGAGACCAGCCTGGCCAACATGGTAAAACCCCACTCTACTAAAAATGCAAAAATTAGCTGGGCATGGTGGTAGGCACCTGTAATCCCAGCTACTCGAAAGCCTAAGGCAGGAGAATGGCTTGAACCCAGGAGGCGGAGGCTGTAGTGAGCTGAGATGGCCCCACTGCACTCCAGCTTAGGTAACAGAGACTCCGTCTCACCAACACGGAGAAATTGGAGAGGAGTGTGGCCCTAGCTGAGCAGGAGCTCCAGCAGGGAGCAGCAGAGAGCTGAGTGTCCAGACCTGATTCCAGAATCAGTAGAGAGCTGGGTTGGGGCAACTTGGATCTGGTGTTGGGGGTGCTGTGGACAGAGGTGGTGAGGAAAGCCAGGGGCTGCAGCGATTCCTTCCTCTTCAGGAAGAGAGTGAGAGGATTCAGACCCTCACAGGCTTGGTAAAGACCAACCAAAACACCCAAAGAGATTGCTTCTGGTGTTTCAGAGACTACTGATCAAATCCAGACCGCACGTTACCCCAGCATGATCTGGTAGGTAGTGGAGGGGGAGGGAGTGGTAGAGAAGTGAACACAGGCCCTGAAACTTCAAGCTTGGTCAGCCCAGGTCAGTTTTACCCTACCCCTACCCCATCGGAGCCGCGAACAGTTAAGAGCCTCTTTCTCTTGGTCACCATGACCACCAGCATTCCCTCACATTTGAGGGGAAGCTTTTGTTTAACCAGATTCAGTGGTTCATTTTAAATCAACTTCAAGTAAACTAGAGAGGGCATGGTCTGATAAACTCTGCCAGAGAAAGACAAGGAAGACAAGTGTGAGGTCGATCGGCTGACTATATTGACAAGATACTGATTGGTTACATGTCGAAGAAAACATACAATACAAAATACAGAAAAAGTTGGTTCCGTCCCCTCCCACTCCCCCCCTTACCCACCCACCCCCAAATACTCATCATCGTGATTTGGTCAGAACAGGGCTCAGAGCCAGAGGTCGGGGTGACCGAGAGTGGAGGGGCTGTGGGAAATGGGTTTGTGGCTGTCACAATAATGCTGTGATAATGCTGTGCTTCCCCAGCAGGGAGGTGGGGGCAGGGAGGGGGCTGCAGCTTGATGACAGCCAGCTGAGGGAAGAGCTGCCACTCCCTTCCCAAGCCCTTTCCCAACCAAGGTCTGCCCCACCGCCCAAACCCAAGACCGCTCCGAACAGGATGAGGATGTGGATGCTCTTGCTGGGTCCGCTGTTCCGCAGGAAGGAAAGAAAGTGTAGCTGCTCTGACTCCGCTGTCCCCATATACAAGGGTGGCGGCGGGGGGACAGGAGCATGTGGCTACTCCCAGCAAGGGAAAGTGAGAGAGCAGTAGAAAGGGGAGGAAGTGGGAAGAGCAGAAGATCATATATATTAAAAAAGTGACTTAAGACTTAAAATTGAATTAGTATTTGTACAGAAAGGTGCAGGTGGAATATCTCACTCCAGCCTATGATCAAAATTATATGAAGAAATCATGGTGGACCCCTCCCCCCTGCCCCCGAGTGGTGGCCCGAGTCGTTAAGTGCGATTGGTTAGAGTGGATTCCAGTCGGGTCGTTCAGGCGGAGGAGGTGGGGGCAGCGGGCAGGCAAGGGGGGCTCAGTTGCTGCAGCACTGGCTCCGGCTGGCTGGGTTGCTCTCCTGGAGGTCCACACCTCGGTTTCGGCCTGGAGCACCAGCTGCGTTCTGGGGCTCGTTCTTGGGAAGCTTCTTAGCTGTTTGGAAGTGGGGGAAAGTGCATTTGTAGGGGGCACCCCAATAACTCTCCAAGTTCCACTGAAACAGATTCTGGCCTTTGCACCCCATCAGTGATAACTAACATCTACGTGTCAGGTGCCTTCTGAGTGTTTTTAGGAAACGGCAGCAAAGAAAGTTAAAATAACTTGCCCCAAACCACAGAGCTAACGAGTCGTAGAGGCAGGATCTGCAACCCAGGCAAGATGATTCCAGAGCCACACGAGCTAAAAACTCCCAGGAAGTGGGTAAGGGTAGTGATGGCAGGCTCGGAAATGGGTGGCAGGCGACAGGGTCAGAGGTGAAATGTTGAGACTCTGACCCAGGCTTCAGGAACTTATGAGGTGAATAACCAACATCTACAACTGGGAGTCAGGTGAGGATGAAAACAATTTGATCAGAAGGTTAAAAGTGGTGAAGGGACCCCACAGGCCCACTCCAGGACAGCAGACAAGTGATATGCCCTTGGTGTGGCAGAGGGAAGGGGAGGAGAAGCAACTTACCTATTGCCATGAAAATTTCATTCACGTTCATGGCAGTCTTTGCTGATGTCTCCATAAACAGCAAACTATTGTCATCTGCATAGGCTTGTGCTTCCTGATTTGGATGGAGGTGAGAAAGTAAGTGAGAAGAAATGGCAGGGGCCAGGGCCCAGGATAAAAACCTTCCCTGTTCAAGTGTCTCATCATAATAGAGATCAGCTGGACAAACTGATCGGGGCTCACCCGGTCAGGTGCAGCACCCCTCGGCTCACAACCACGGGCAGATGTCTTACTCAGGTTTCCTTAGGTCCACCCTACCTTCCTGCCCTTCAAAATCCCTAGGCTAGGAAATACTTCTAGAAAATTATCCTACAAATACCCTTGCATGTTTGCACAAAAGCACACAAGTATGTGGATGTCTACTGCAGCACTGTTTTCAGTCTTTTTGCAATTATTGGGGACTGGTAAAAAATTATCAAATACAGTATGTATAGCACACTGCCATCCATGTAAAGAAAGGGATTAAAAACTATATGCATATTTCTGGAAGGACAAGAAACTGGGAAAATTACAGGAAGAAAAGTTGAGTTTCTAGGGTTAGCAGAGACTAAAGTACTCCTTTTTTTTTTTTTTTTTTTTTGAGACAGGATCTCACTGTGTTGCCCAGGCTGGAGTGCAGTGGCACAATCACTGCTCACTGCAGCCTCAACGTCCTGGCCTCCAGTGATCCTCCCCACCTCAGCCTCCTGAGTAGCACACCACCACGCCTGACGAACTTTTGTATTTTTCGTAGACACGGTGTCTCACCACATTGCCCATGCTGGTCTTGAACTCGTAAGCTCAAGTAATCCTCCTGCCTCAGCTTCCAGAGTGTTGGGATTACAGGCGTGAGCCACTGCACCTGGTGTTTTTTAGTTTAGTTTTGTTTTTTAAGAAGATGGGGCCTCACTCTTGGCCATGCTGGAGTGCAATGGCGCAATCACTGAAGCCTTAAACTCCTGGGCTTAAGCAATCCTCTTGCCTTAGCCTCCCAAGTAGCTGAGACTATAGGTGTGTGCCACCAAGCCCAGCTAATTTTTAAATCCTTTGTAGAGGCAGAGTCTTACTGTGTCACCTAGGCTGGTCTTGAACTCGTGGCCTCAAGTGATCCTGCTACTTCAGCCTCCCAAGGCACTGGGATTATAGACAGGAGCCATGATGCCCAGTAGGCCCATGCTTGAGGCATGACAGGACAGTAGATGGAAGCTTCCCTGTTGCCTCCTAGCACGGCCCTTCCCAAAGCCCCTGAGCAACCTGGGTGAGGCCAGGGGGAGCTGCTTCCTCCACTCGTTCCCCAAGTCCATTGTCTCCCCACCTGGAATTCCACAGCTCTCTTGCTGGCCAGGTCTGCCTTGTTGCCCGCAAGTGCAATGACGATGTTGGGGCTGGCCTGCCTCTGTAGCTCCTTCACCCAGTTCTTGGCCCGTGCAAATGTATCCTGAGAAGACAGGGACAGAATGTCAAAGGGAGAGAGAAGGCATTCAGCCCAAGGCCACCCACTAGAGACTTGCAAGCTGGCACAGCCAAATTAAGACATTGCCACCTAAAGATTCTGGCACAATGTCCTCAAATAGGAAATCTGCCAACCCTCCAGCCAGCAACAGAAGGTTAAGAGGCCTGAAATCTGGGCTTTGATAACCCAATCCCTGGGACTTGGAGAAGATGAAGGGCAGAGGAAGAAGCAAGGGGAAATGTTTACTGTGTTGGTGATGTCATAGACCACGATGGCAGCCTGGGCCCCCCGGTAGTACATGGGGGCCAGGCTGTGATACCGCTCCTGTCCAGCTGTGTCCCAGATCTCAAACTTGACTGTTGTGTCGTCCAGGCAGACAGTCTGTGTGAGGAAGGCCGCTGAAAGAGAGGAGCGTCCACGGGCAAGAGCGAGTTAGAAGCCACCCCACACATTCCCATGGTTGCTTCTAGGCCCTGGCACTCAGATGCCCACAGCTGAGATGGGCACAGAGAACCCGCAACCCAGGAGCCAAAGCAGGCCTGAGCAGGCTGGTGGAGTTTAGATTTTTATGTATGAGTCTGGGGGACAGGGTCTGCACAGGCTTTACAGACCCAGCCCAGGCAGGGGCAGAAGAAGGGACGCCTGCGTGCATTGAGTTGTCTCAGGAGCACTCTCTGAAGAGGAACGCAGCAGGGGCAGG